ATATATATATATATATATATATGGATATATATATAAATATATTATATATATGGACATATATAGATATATCAAAGATATGATAATGTAGATTTATATATATGTATATATCATAACTTTTATTAGTGATAAAATTTTTCAATATACATGACAGAGTAATGTCTCAGATAAATAGGCAAGAATTAAAAGAGGATGAAAAAGAAATTTGTTCCATAGATAAAAAAGAAGCTATAAGTAAAATAAATAAAAAATATTTCTGTGTAGAGATTTGAGAAAAGAAACATACGTAAGAATATGATTTAAACGGTTATATCGAAAATATAAAGTATAAATGGGAAGTCAAATATAGATAAGATAATGACAATCTAGAAAATACATTTTGAACGTCGAAAAAGTATCTCTCACGTTTATCATATAAAATATCCTCACAAACGAGCCTTTTATGGCGCTACCGGCTTTGCACATGGAGCTTTCTTCGGCGCGGAATAATTATGCAAAATTACGACCGCTCTTACCATCTCATCCTCCCTGCTTCTCTCTTTCTCTCTCTTTCTTCCGTGAGTCGAGTCTTCAATTCGCGATTCAGATAGTGATTTAGCATTATTCTTTACGATTTAACTAGTCGCGGACGTTAACTCCCCGCGAATAAGCGCGTTCGCGCTCGACAATGCGTTTAGCGCAGCGCAGAGCCGCGTAAATGCGCGCACGCAGTATAAATAATAACGCACAGCGCACAGCGAATGCCGAAGGATAAATATTTACGAGAAAGGCGCAAAGTGCCTGCGACCGGTTTATGCCGCTCGGCGATTGTCTCGCTTTGCGAAACGGGCTTATAACGACGGCGCATAAAATTATTCACGATGCAGCAGCCGCGCGCGACCGCCTTCCAAAAAGGAAGACGACCATTCAAGGAGACGGCCTAAAGGTTTCCAAAACCGGTCGACCTTGTGGCTTTGATCGCGCCACGGCTCCCACTAATCAATCATCGGTTATTGACCTCGGCCGAAGGCTCTGACGTAATTGATCGCGTCGAAAATGACCACATTAGCTGTCGACCAGGCACGTCACGTCACGTCACATCACGTTGTTTGACAACCTGCCGCGAATACGTGAATTTAAAAGAAGCGATGGGAAAGGGTCGCGAGGTGACCACTGTCGGCGGGAATTTCGTAATGAAGCCGCACGAAGGACGGTACATAAGGAAAACGCGAAAGATCGAGCGCGAATTTGTCCTCCGAAGTTGCCATCTAAAGGATTTTAACCGAAATGCATATTCATAACTGGTCCAGTTATAAGTGTAGCGTTGCAATAACCAGCAAAATCTCGCTAGGAATGATCAGTGAACAGTGGCGATTGTTCCCATTATTGATGCAGCGTTTGCAAAATCATATGTCACTGCACGCAAGGCGCAGGGTAGCCGTTAATTCCATTGCCGCGAACGCAGAAAGTTGGACAATGTACACTCACGGGCAGATAGTTGTGTCCGCTATTTGTTGTGTGAGTTTCGAAACGCATCTGTCTTGTCCAACGGGAATTCTCCCATTGGAAAGCGAACTTTTCCGTTGGATAAGACGATACTTTCCAGAATTCAATATTTCTCCAGCTTTACAAAAATATACTATAAAATAAAAGATATAATTTTAACGCAATTTTTATCACAATATTTTCTCCATATATATCGAATTTACGCACTAGATTTTGTAGTGAAATCTTATCTTTACTAGCCAAATTTAATATAATATATAATGGAAAAGTATATATATATATATATATATATATATATATATATATATATATATATCAATTATCAATG